TGCGGCTCCTGGTGGGCATTGTCACACTCCTTTTCTCTGCAATGAGGACCAGGCTGAATGCTTCAGTGTGTCTGGAAATTTCACTATCCTTTTTAATAAACAAACTGAAAGTAGCTTCCGTACATTGAATATTCAAAGTAGTCCAGGGACCATTCTGATTGCTGTCTTCAACTTCAACACTACAGCAGTAGGAGTTAGATATGATTATAGCTTCCTTCCCGAGGTCATGCAGTGGTGGAATGCTCGGCACTGGAGGGATATTCCTAAGCACTAGGCTCTGCTGCCTCCGCTAGCAGAGGATCAGGGCCCTGTGGCTGGAAGCCAAGTGGGAAATGGCACGAGCGACAGGAGCTGGGGTGTGCAAGGTGTGATGGGCATATTGGCCCGAAGTGGCCTCGCACAAGCCCCGTGCCTGAAACCTCCCTGTGTGTGTGTGGATTCCAACCTCCCTTGCTGGAGGGGTGCTCCTGTCTGCAGCACAGCACCTCTGGAGCCACCAGCGATCTCAGTGGCAGGTGGCCCGCACTCTCCCTGTAAGATGACATTTCTATTGGAAGCCTGGTGTCTTCATGGTGCCCAAGGAAATAGCCACTGCCTCTCCTGCCTCAAAGACATCCTGAGCCTGGGTTTGCATAGTGTGCTCTGACTCATCTGCAATAAACAGGGGAAATCTCTAGGAAACAGCTGTGTGGTGAGGGTGACGCGCCAGGCAATTCAGATGCCGCTGGCAGTATATCTGAAGCTAAATCAGAAAGGGGACAGGAAAAGGACATCGAAGTGGTTTGGAGGAGGCGATTTTCACTCAGCGTAGGACAGTGTTTCTCCATGTTGACCAGCCAGATGTGAGAAGCTGGTTTCCAGGGGTGCTTCCTTGGACTCCTCAGAGGAGCCCGAGTCCCCACTGACCTCCAGCCGGGCAGGCTACCAGACGTCAGCAGCCTGAGCCTTGTCCTCCGCATCTATGTCCTCAGCCATGAACACGTCCCATGGCCTGGCTTGTCACTCGATCTGAGACAGCATGTCAAGCTCTTACATCTTTTATTCCTGCCACCTGCCAAGAGTGAATGTAAAAGGAACTTACTTTTGTTTCTGATGGGCATTGGGAATATTACCTTAGTCCCAACTCTTTATAAGAATCTCTGGCCCAGCCAGATAGCTCAACAGACTAAAACGCCTGCTTAGACAGAGTGCAGCAGCCGGGGTTCGATCCCCGGCATGCTGTGCTGGCCCTGCCCCTGGGTTGCTCTGAAACAGAGACTGAGACTGGTTATGATGGCATGCACCTGTAATCCCAGCGCTTGGGAGGCTGAAAACAGGAGGATCACTACGAGTCCAGTCTACATAGCGAGAGCCTGTAGACCGTGTCCTAAATCTATTAAAAAAGAAATCTCCTCTGAGATCCCTGCCCACGTGCATTTGCATCTTCAGGGTCTCTTTCCATCAAACGCCATCGTGTTTTTCCCATTTCCACCTGGACTGAGTTTCTCCACTCTGCCTGTCACCTCAGTTTCTCTGCCATGTGGCGCTAGCGAGGCAATCATGATTCATCGGGAGGCAGGTGGACCATGCAGGACCATGGGTCATTTGCCCAAGCTACAAAAGTGTGGGCCAGAGCCTCACGCACCTCACTTTTTGTGTTTCCTTTGCCTGCGTCCCATTGATTGCAATTGCATAGTTATGGTTAAAAAATGATGATTTTTATTTATCTCATTCCCTGTTTCCCACAAGGAAGGACCACAGGACTGGCTGAGAGGTTCAGTGGTGTCAGCTTCCTCGGGCAGACTGGCTGGTTTACATCTCTGAACCAACTTCATCCAGCAAGATATAGCCTGGGATATTGACCTCTCAGGCTGCATTCAAACTCCAAAGTATAAAACACAGTGCAAGTGCTGAGCAAGAATGAAAACTCATAAAGCATAGCTGTTTGCTCTCTTACTTAGATTAGTCTCAGTTTCAGGTTCCAATGGCCATATCCTTTTTCTAATCCAAATAGATCCAAAGAGCCAGGGAGGACTTATGCTTCACAGTCAACCACACACCTTGCTGAAGCATTAGCACTCTCGTCCGTCTCTACTCAGTGTGGTTGATGTATTGAGTGCCAGTTTCTTCTCGGAGGACCAGGAGAACTGTGGTACACATGGCCCAAGCAGAAGGACACTCCTGAGTGAAAATCATTGCTTCTGTCCCTCGTGCTTATCGCGTTTATGAACTGCATGTTGTTGGGAATCTAATAAGAGTAAGCCTACTCTCTTTTTGTATTTTGTAGAAACTACATCTTCAGACTGCAGTTGGAGGATCTGTCTCTCATCCAGGTAGGTGTAATTTGTTTTGCTCAAACTTTTTCCCCATCCAAATGGGCTCACTGTTTGGGGGAACAAAGCCAAGCAGGGTGCCATTTCCTCAGTGGGTCTGGCTGCAGATGCCCACCTGTGTGATGTGAGCCAGCACCACCTTTAATTCCCAGTTGACCTGCTCTTGTGCCTAGCCAAGGGTATCGCCCTGATACACTTTGTGTCTGGTGACAGATAATGCCAAGCTCCTCACTTCACAGTCTGGATTGGAATGACTTAGTTCATTGCATTAAGTCAGCATGTCTCTCTGCAACATCTTTGTTTCCCATTTTTGTTCACAATTACATAAATTTGAATATGAGGGTAAAGTTACTCTCAGAAAAGAATAAATGATAGCAGGTAAAAATGACATTCATGTACTTCTGATATTGCAGTTTGGAGAATGTGCCTTCCATCCATATGTTGAAAGATTTATTTTGTAGGTCTAAATTGTAAATGCCCCTTTTGTTCCTCTAGTCCTTTAGAAAAATGTGACAATCAAAGTCCCCTTGAAAAGAGGGTTGTGACACAGTATCCTTCCTTGCTGAGATTCTTTCACTCTTTGTGGACCACACCACAGTCTCTGGGCTGCGCACAATTCTGAAACTATTCTTCAGATAATACTAATATCAGCCTCCCATCCTAGGCGCTTAAGAAGTGGTGGAAGAAATTATATTATTTTATTGTCACTGTAGAGCTGGCATCTGTGGGCATTCAGGAAGCTATACCTAGGTTTTAATGCTATGCCTATTTTTTATTAATCAGAGTGTTAAGACAATTTGACCTTCAAATTGGGTAGCCAATAAGCACTTTGAAGAACATGGCACCTGGACGTGTTGTGTAGTTCTATGAGTTTTAGTGATGATCGGTTTCCTTATTGGCCAATGGCCGGGACTGTCTGCCAATCCCATGCTATCCTAATACACATGAGCTGAGATAAACCAAAGAGGGAAAGTATAGGGATTTCTCAAGCCACGTGTATAGCTTGGGTTTTCCAAAGGAATAATATTTGTACTAGCTCCACAGAGGGTTTGTTAACTTTATGTGCTGCAAATAAGTTTTTTAAAAAGGAAGAGGATCAAGAGATGGATAGAGAGGGGAGGAAGGGAAGGGACCATGGATGAAGAAAGGAACTAACATGTGTTATATGTGTGTGCCAGCTTCCCACAAGGAAGGTAAGCAGTGTATGCTACAAACATTGATAAATTAAAAGATGGAATTAAAAAATGATGATAATAACAAATCCTCATAATAGACTCAGCATACTTGACAATGACTTGGCATTATACAAGTCATTAAATGAATGGAGTGGTTGTTAAAATTATGAACTTATGAAGTAATTAGTACCATCAACAATTTGAGAACATTGTGCTAACTAAAATAAGCCCGGCACAGAATCATGAGTAATACATGATCTCCCTTATGGGTAGAGACATATAGTGAAATGGTAGAAACAGAGTACAATAGTGATTACAGGAAACTTGGGGCATGGGGAAGAAAATGGTCAGATTTTGTCCCAAGTGTACAAATTTCAGCTAGACGGGAAGAATAAATTGTAGAGGTACATTGTACAGCACTCTGCGGTGAATAATATATTGTAGAGTAAAAAATTGTCAAAAGTAGATTTTAACAGCTGATCAAATAACTCAGGGATTTAGACTGCCTGCGAACAGGGGCAGGGGCCAGGGATTCAATCCCTGGGCCTGCTGTGCCTGTCCTGCCCCCGGGGCACACTAAGATGGCAATTGAGACTGGGCGTGGTGGCATACGCCTGTAATCCCAGCTCTTGGGAGGTTGTAAACAGGAGAATCACTATGAGTCTGATCTAGTAGTGAGACCCTTAACACCCTGTAGACCCTTCCCTAAAATGCAAAAATAAATAAGGAAGTAGATTTTAAGTATTCTAAGTACAAAAACATATGGACGGTAATATATTTGTTAATTAGCTTGCCTTAATCATTCACAGTGTATACTTACAAAATTACATTGTATATCATAAATATATATATATATATAATTATTTTATTATATTTTTATGCATAATTAGTACTTGTCAATTCAAAATGACAGTCAGTAATCTAATCAAAATACCATCTCAAAGATGGATGTAAACAACCTTGTAAAATACAGACCTTTTGGGCTGTGGAGATAGCTCAGTGCTCTAAGTGCCTGCCTGGCAAGTGCAAGGACTTAGGTTCGATCCCCAGTACCACATGTTGTGCCACTGTGCCAGTCACTGAAACCAGGCATGGTGGTGCACACCTGTAATTCCAGCCTTGGGAATTACAGGCAGGAGGATCACTGTGAGTATGAACTGCATAGTGAGACCCCACACCAAATGAACAAATACATGATAAAATGTAAAATAAAATACAGACCTCCTAATAAGAAAGATATTTTATGCTCACTTGAACTCTGATGTCATATATCATATCATATCATATACCGTGTGGATACCATGTATTAAGAAATGGGCTATGCAGAAGCATATGTACTCTCAAGCGTACGGACTATTCCTTTCCATTTGGTTTTTATTCCTGGAGCTTCAGAGGCTCTCAAAGGATGGCTATCGCAATAGTACTCAGACTACAAAATGCATAGCGCTTGGTTTCTAAATAAAATACTACAACACAGAGAACCAGTTTCTTAATGCAGTGAGATCAAAAGAGGGGCCGGGGAGATGGCTCAGTGGAATAAGCACTTGCCTGGCAAGCACAAGGGCCTGAGTTCAATCCCCAGTTCCACCCAATAAATAAATAAATAAATAAATAAATAAATAAATAAATAAATAAATAAAATACCAAAAGAACTTTTGTTTCAGAAGATAAATTGTCCGAGCATGTTGAAGGTGCGTGAAAGGGGCTGAGGAGCCAGCTTCCAGCAGGCTCACTGAAAAATCTGGGAAACTGGTGGCCAACACACAGGATCATAGTAGGAGATTGTGGTATATTACAGAAAAGAGTACTCGAAGGCAAATTCCGAACCAACAAAGGAATGCATGAATGACCAAGAAACGTAGAAGGGACTGGTCTTTCTTAACACGTGACACCAGTAATTAAATGTGGAAGGAGTGGTTTAATTAGAGAATTATGATTTGGTTCTCATCACCCTAAAATTGATGGAAGCAAAAATGATTCATGGTTGCTAACGCGTATGAATCAGAGTTTGATGACAACGAGGCTATTTATAGTTTATTAGTACTATCCTATCCACTACCCATTAATTACAAGCAATGCCTTGCAATGTGGCATTAAGAAGGAGAAGAATAGTGATTATCCCATGACCAGGCAGTTCACAATGACTGCGCCAGCAAGCAGGCAAAGGCTCGGTAGTTCCTGGCGCTGAGACGCACTCAGCTGCATTTCGGTGCCATCCCAGCCCGCCAGGATAACCAGCCTTACTTACTTCGAGGAACTATCAGACAAACCCACAGGGAGGGACGTCCTAAGATTGCTGACCTCTGCCATTCAAGGGTCAGGGTCATGAAATAGATAGATAGATAGATAGATAGATAGATAGATAGATAGATAGATAGATAGATAGATATATATATATATATATATATATATATATTTAAATAAAGAGTTGTTACAGCCTAAAAGAGGATGAATGAACATGACTGTAAAATGCAGTACTTGATCCCTAGTTAATCTCTGGGTAAATGGTCTTTCTTGGTAGGAGTGACGTTACTGGGACAACTTAAAAGATATGATTATAAATAAGATAGGATACATGGGCTGGGGAGATAGCTCAGCAGAATAAACACTTGCCTGGCAAGCACAAGGTCCTGAGTTCAACCCCCAGTACCGCAATAAAAAAAGATAGGCCACGTTTTCTGATTTTGGTACCTGCAATGGCAACCACTATGGAGGGGCATGCTCTTACTCTTTGGAAAAACCCATGAGAATAGATATGCAACATGGTGTTATTTCTGCAACTTATTCTCAAGTGACTTAAATGTACTTTGTGTAGTCATGGAGACTAAAAGAAGCACACAGTTTGTTCTCCTTCATTCTCCTGGCGTCCTGTAGCTCCTGGCATCCTGTACTTTAAAAACTGGGTTGTGTGGCTCTCAGTGTTATCTCTGTGCATACTCATTTGTTGTTCTGTCCTGTTGTCTCAGAGGGTCTAGAAGCACCACATGGACACATTTATGATACATACGCATACATGCAGAGAAAAATGCTAAAGCAAATGTGACAGCACGGGCATGATGGGATTGAAGTGCAGAATTTATGTGAGCGCCTTGTGTTATTCTCACAGCTTTGCTTATCATTATGTCAAAATAAATAGATGCAGCCATTGGGAAATACATTTGCCACGCACCCACGTATAGAATGTCCTTGTGAGGGCAAGGACACCTGCTGTCCTTTTCTGATCCTGGCTTCCCTTCCCTTGGCTATCTTGGGTGAACCGCCCTCCCTGCAGAAGCAAAGGCCATCAGCGTCACCCCTGGAGAGAGCTTCCTGCGCTGCATGGGCAAGGAGGACTGTGACATTCCGAGTGCTGGCTTTGAAAAGCAGCCTTCATGACAGACACCTAACAGAGTCCCCCTTGGTGCCAGGCACTGCAGAGTGGCTCTCCTTTCTCCCATTGTGTGAGTGGTTGTGCAGCACTGTAGCGTACTGTTTGCATAGCACGGAGAGATACAAAGCTAGCGCTTCTTCACAACACTAGCTTTACTTACTTCTCTTGAGGCGAGAGGACTTATTGGTTTCTCTGATTATCTTATTTTCATTTAAATGACTACTTCCAGGGATAGCAAAATGAAATAATCACACTGGCAAACAAAGGACTGCTCTGGCCCTATAGAGAGAGCTGTCGGTGAGATGTGGATGGGCTTCAGAATTAATTTAAGATTATCCAGCAGACATCTTGACAACAAGTTCAAAGAAACAAGGACAATCATATTTAATTATTTGTTGGCTATGGCATCTGATCCAAAATCTCATTCCAACATAGATTCATGAGATTTCTTTTTC